TAAATTTGAAAAAGTCAATTACCCCTCTCTTGGCATATTTCGGTCGATCGATTGAGCTTTATAAATCCTAACCCAAGATCTTTTGTATGTGTGTGTAATTGTATCCAAACTATGCTTAGTAAAGTTAGAAAAATTCTAGGGAAGTTGACTATTCTACCATAGCATATATTCAACCTTAAAGCATAAGTAAATTACTCCTATTTCCTTAAGATTAATTTATTTTTTTTTACTACTAGGGGAGTCAGCCTATCACAACTACCATCCCATACTCTATATGAACTGGAGTATATATTCTATCCCCGAGATAGTAGGTAAAGTCATCCCGTGACTACTTTTATTCACTCGTATGCTATAGCTTCCATTTATTCAAGGGGTTTTCCAGGCACTACTGTAGTAAAGAGTAGTGTCCCTCAACAATTATGTCAAAATATTTATTCATAATTAACACAATTAACAAGCACAGAGGAGTTTAATTTAAGCATTTACTTTCGTTAACCATCAAGTTATGCTAAGGAATTCAAGAGTTCTTCCATAAAAAAATTTCTAACATTCCTAAGTATAGAGAGCATACAATCGTGTATCAGTTAAAGTGCAAACAACCAAGTCTTAAAGTAAATCCTATCCATCTCCATAGTCATGTACATTCAGTTCAAAATAGCCATAAAAATATCATCTTCGGGCATCATCAAATTATTCCACCAACTGTCTCAAAATCACAAAAAATACAATGGTAAAAATTGTTAACTATTATGAATGCAAATGAAAACTATGAACACTGCGTCCCCCAAACTTGAACGATGCAGTGTCCTTAATGCATAAAAAAATAAACTATATGCAATGCAAGGTACCTTGTCTACATATATGATTGTGGTGGTATGGTTCTTTCCTTACGTTTGGCGCGCTTCCTTAGTGGGGTAGGGCTCAGTTGCTCTGATTCAGATTCTTGTTTAGGAGGTGGTGTCATAACTTTTTCAGGATCATTAGCAGGTGTGATCTTTGTATGCCCAACGGACCTTTTCAAATAATGTTTGGTTGTCTATGGAGGAGTTTGTTGTGGTATCTCGGATTGTTGGGGCATTTCATCAGTGGGCTCTTCAACATTAGGCTGGGATTCAGTATTTTGTTCAGGATAGGACTAGGGCTATTGGTCAGGGTCGTGATCCGACTTACTTCCTTATTTTATTATCGTGAAGGGACCTGTAATATATGGTTTGACTAGGGCTTTTATGGTATCCTCAGCTCCTTCAATCGCATCTTTAGGGGCTTCTCCAGTGAATACTATGGCATTATCAGATGTTGGTAGTGTGAAATTGAGGAAGATTGGGAAGTCATCAGATGTTATGGGGAGAATTTCCTTAAAGTATGACACTACAACTGCATCAATTTGCTTCACGTAAGTGAAGAACATCTTCAGATCACTTGTCAAACTTCAATTTGCTCCCTTGTACGCCTGATAGATTCAACCACAAAAATTATTCTTGTTGCAACATTCATTTTGCAGTAGTCTTCAGGTTCTCTTTTGGCTTGTCCATTTTGGAGAAGTCCTTAATGAATCTTCTATAGAAGCATGCATGTCCCAAAAAACTTCTAATAACCTTTATAGTAATTGGTGGAGGTAGTTTCTCAATCACCTTGAACTTTGTCTTGTCTGCCTCTATACCTTTTTGTGAGATCTTGTGGCCTAGAATAGTGCCTTAGTCACCATTAAGTGACATTTCTCCCAATTAAGCACTAGGTCAGCTTCTTTACATCTCTTGAGTACCTTTACTAAATTACCAAGACATTGTTCAAAATTTTCTCTAGAGACGAAGAAGTCATCCATGAAGATATCTAAAAATTCCTCAACCATGTCTGATAAAATGAGTAACATGCATATTTGAAAAGTTGTTAGAGCATTGTGATAGTTCTCTAAAAGAGTTATAGCTGTTAGCCTTAATTACCTAGGTTTAGCTTGAACTTAAGCATATTTAGAATCATTTTAGGATTAAATTTACTAATTTTTCACATTCTACATGATAGGAGCATCGTGGATTGTTAAGGGTTAAAATTGATTTTTGTTGTTGCAAACTGTTGCACTGATATTGTAGCATTACAAGAAATGCTGATCGGATGATGTATCAGTCATCTAAGCTTCAGACGATTGAAATAACCTTCTGGATTAGGATAGCTGGCTCGGGTAGCTGTCATATGGAAGGATAATAACTGAGACATTGACTTTTCCTATTGGGTGATGGAATTCTCATTCAAGATATAAAAGAGGAGTATTTTGGTGCAAAAAAAAAGTGTGATGATTGGGAGAGATCCAAAGTACCATTTTCTACGTTATTTCTTCTCAAGCCATGGATAGCTAAATCTTTCGTCAAGTATTGTTGCAACACAAAGAAAGCTTTCTGGGAAGCTTCAGTGGTCAACAGATCGCATTCAATGCCTTCTATTGAGAGAGGGAGTGATTTGAATGATTAAACTTTTGTTGGATGTTTATTATAAACTTCGTATTTTGTGTTTACTTGGGTATTTAGTTTATGAGCTTTGAACCTGATGATTTTCAGTAGAAATATTTTTCAATCAAATATATAGTGTTTTTGTTTGAATATGGAAATATTTTCATTCGAATTGGTATATACATTTGTTAGCGTTGGTGTTGCTGCATAGCATAGGTGCACTGAAAAGTGTGCAGTCATTAGATTATCATTGTTAATAGTTTGAATGTTTAATTAATGAAAGTTATTAAAGTAGTTCAAATGGTTTTAATTAATTCTAATCACTTTGACTAAATATATCATGTTGGCATAACATTTGGTAGTCATAATATCATATCCTTTGATTTGATGGCTGACCAATTGCTTTCTGGAATGTTGTAGCACGAACTAGTACTTATCGTGATTGATATCATTATTTTCTATCTTACATCTCATTTACTTTATACATTTTGCTACTAAAAACTCTAATGAAAACAATATGCTCTATGTGGGTTCGACATCCAAAACTCTTGTAGTTTCTATTTTATTACTTGATTTACGATGCGTGCACTTGCGTTATATGCTATAGTATTTTTATAACATCAAGTTTTTGGTGCTGTTTTTGGGGAGCATCGGTTTGATTTAGAGTTCTTTTAATATTGCTTACTTACTTATTTTCTTTTGTAGATTTCTTAGTCTCTGTTTTTACTAGTGTATGTCCTGAAGCGATGACGAATTAGAGCCGTTTGATCCAGAGATTGAAAGAACATTTCGCAGACATCACTCTGAAGCTACTATGGATGAACAAGGGAATGCTATTTTACCCCCACTATAGAATGGAAAGAATGATGAGTTTTCAAATGACATTAGAGATGAGCAACCACATCAGAATATACATGATTGAAATTATCCTGTTCGTGAGCATGTAGTGCTGACATTGGATGATTTGCATCCTGGCATTGTGAGACCAGTTATTAATATTGCGAACTTCGAATTAAAGCCAATTATGTTCCAAATGTTACAATCTATGGGACAATATGGAGGTTATGTTGCTGAAGATCCTATAGCCCATTTGCGAGCTTTCATGGAGGTTTACGATTCTTTTATTCAACAAGGTGTTCCAGAGGAGGCCCTGAAGCTGAAGCTATTTCTCTATTCATTGCTTGATAAAGAACAAGTTTGGTTGAGTTCTTTGTTGCCAGGTGTTGTAGCATCCAGGAATCAATTAGCGTAGAAGTTGTTGTTGCGATTTAACCCATCGAATATGAATACCAAGCTTCTAAATGACTTAACCTCATTCAAGCAGATTGATGATGAAAGCTTATATGAAGCATGGGAAAAATTCAAAGAATTGTTGTGGAAGTTTCCTATGTATGGGTTCTCACATTGGACTCAAATGGAGATGTTTTATGATGGACTAAACATTCACACTTGAATGGTGGTTGATGCCTCAACAAACAGAGCTTTTCGGGATAAAACATTTGGTCGGTACAGTGTTGCAGCATTAGACTCAAAAACTTTTAACTTTATTGCATCTTAAATTTCAGAATTAATTAAAATAGTGAAAAAATTGCATAAGCTAGGAGGAATGTATGAAGTCAAAGTTGCATTTCTTATTACTTGCATATATTGTGACAATAATCACAATTTTGATGGATGCCCCTAAAATCCAAAGTCTATGTGAAATTATCCAAGGAATGATAATGCTTTTGGAAATACAAAAATATTGAATTTCACAAATCATTCCAATCTTTCTTGGAGAAGTCATAATATTGCCAATCCATAGCATCAACAATATCAGTCGCAACATTACACTCAGTAGAGTCTAATGCCACAGCTGTAGGCATAACAACCTATTGCTCAGCCGCAGCAAACAAAGAACTACCAAGGCCAATCTTCGAATCAAACTTCAACCTTGAAATGTTTTGATGCCATGATGAAAGAATATATAGCGAGCCAATCTTCCTCATTAAGGGCTATTGAGGATTAGATGGGACAAATGGCTAATGCTCTAAATAGTCGATTGCTAGGATTGTTGCCTAGCGACACTGAGAATCCTAAGCAAAATGGTAAGGAACATTGTAAGGCCATTACCATAAAAAGTGGAATTCATATTGGCGACATAGTTGAAGAATCACAAAGGAAGAATAAAGACGTCATCAACATAGTAAATGGAAGAGCAAAGAGACTGAGCCTGAACCATATGTGAGTCAGTTCACAGCACCAAATATAGGGTAGAGCAGTAACACAGACTCATTACCGACAGCAATCTCTGATGTATCTAATGCATATTTGACTATATTACCTCAAAAACATCAAACAAAATTGCCTCCACATTTTCCATAACTCTTTAAGAAGGTAAAAGAATATTATCAATACAAAACTTTCATTGATATCCTTCATCATCTTACAGTGATCATTCCATTTATTGATACTTTAGAGAAAAATCCAAATTATATCAAATTCATTAGGGAAGTTCTTTCGAAGAAATGAAGACTTGGCGAGTTTGAGACAATAGCTCTTACTGAATGTTATAGCGCTATGGCTATAAGTCAATTGCCACTTAAGGATCTATGGAGTTTCACTGTTCCTTGTAACATTGGTGACACATCTTTAGGTAAATATTTATTTGATTTGGGTACTAGCATTAATCTAATGCCATTGTCAATCTTTAAGAAATTTGGGAGCGACAAAACAAGTCCCACTACGGTTACTTTGCAACTTGCTAATCACTCCACCATACATCCTAGTGGCATTGTGGAAAACATGCTTGTGCAAGTGGAAAAGTTAATTTTCCTTATAGATTTTATCATTTTGGATTGTAAAGTAGACAAAGATGTCCTAATTATTTTCGGTCGCCCGTTCCTTGCTATAGGCCGAGATTTGATTGATGTTGAAAAGGGAGAATTGACTATGTGTTTGAATGATGAACATATTACTTTTAATGCCTTGAATAATGTTTCTTACATCAATGAAAATGATGAATGTTTTTCACTTGATGTGATTGATATTTTTGTACATGACCATTTGGAGGAATACTATAGCGCAGATACAAATTTATGTGATTTCGAGGCATTTGAAGAATTTTTGACGGATGAATAAATAAAATGTTGTAGCAAGTATCTCCAGAGCATAGAACCATTGCAAGAACATGATCATATCAATCAAGCACCGAAGTCATCTATTGAAGAACCACTGCCAGAGCATTTTAAATATGCTTATCTTGGAGAAAATGAGACGTTGCCAATCATTGTGGCAACACAACTTACAACATCACAAGAAACTCGGTTAATTGATGTGCTGAAGCAATATAATAAGGCTATCTTATGGAGCATTGCTGCTATAAAATGCATTAATCCATCATTTTGCATGCACAAAATTCTTTTAGAGGATCCCAATAGTAGCTCGATTGAACATCAACAAAGAATCATGAAAGAAGTGGTTCGAAAGGAGATTTTTAAATGGTTGGATGCTGGGATTATATACCCAATTTCGGATAGCAAATGGGTTAGTCCTATTAAATGCATTTCAAAGAAGGGCAACATTACTGTGGTGACAAATGATAAGAATGAATTAGTTCCGACAAGAACCACCATTGTTGGAGGATATGTATGGACTATGAGAAGCTAAATAAAGCAATGATGAAATACTACTTTTCATTTCCCTTTAAGATCAAATATTAGATCAACTTACATGAAATACTTTTTATAGTTTTTTGGATGTATATAATGCTTACAAACAAATTGCTATAGCTCTGGAAGATCAGGAGAAAACAACATTTACATGTCCGTATAACACCTTTTCTTTTCGTAGAATGCCATTTGGGTTGTGTAATGATCCAGCGATATTCCAGCGCTGTATGATGTCCATTTTCTTCGATATGATTGAGAACTATCTTGAAGTTTTTATGGATGATTTTTCAGTATTCAGGCAGGATTTTGAGAAGTGTTTGAGCAATTTGGCTATAGTTTTAAGAAGATGCAAGGAGACTAACTTAGTTTTGAATTGAGAAAAATGCCATTTTATTAGTCATAGAAGGTATAGTGATAGGGCACCAAATTTCAAGTTGTGGTATTGAAATTGATAAAGAAAAAGTAGAGGTTATTGAAAAATTACCGCCACATACTAATGTTAAGGCAGTTCTAAGCTTCCTTAGTCATGTTGGTTTTTAGAGTAGGTTTATTAAAGATTTCTCTCGAATTGCTAAACCATTGTGCTCATTACTAGGGCCAAACATGAAGTTTGTTGTTGATGATGAAATGCTTCAATCTTTTGAGACAATTAAATTGAAGCTAGTAAATGCCGATGTTATTATAACACCATATTGAAGTTTACCCTTTAACTAATGTCTGATGCTAGTGATTTTGCTGTATGAGAAGTGTTGGGGCGACAGAAGGATAAAATGTTTCGTACAATACATTAGGCAAGTAGGACATTAAATGAAGCTCGGATCAATAACATCACAGTTGAAAATGAGCTGCTTGCTATAGTGTTCGCTTTTGATAAATTTCATTCCTACTTGGTGGGTACAAAAGTGATCATCTATACTGATCACTCAATGCTGAAGCATTTATTTACTAAGAAGGATACAAAACCACATTTGATTTGATTAGTGCTTTTACTCCAAGAATTTGATGTTGATATTCGAGATAAAAAGGGATTTGAAAATCAAGTGGCTGATCACTTGTTGAGAGTAGAATCAGACAGCGAAGATGGCATCATTACAATAATTCCAAATGAATTCCCTGTTGAACATCTGTTAGTTGCTACAACATTACCATGGTATGGTGATTTTTCCAACTATGTAGTTAGTGGGATAATGCCACCAGACCTATATTACCAAGGCCAAAGGAAATTTATGCGGGATGTAAATCAATATCATTGGGAGGAGTCGTGTTTATTTAAACAATACAATGATCAACTTATGTGGTGATGTATCACTCAATGTGAGCAGCAAAGCATTTTCCAACATTGTCATAGTGCCCCATATGGTGGAAATTTTGGTGGTATGTGCACAATATCAAAAGTGTTTCAATGTGGATATTATTGGTTATCAATTTTTAAAGATGCTAATTACTTTGTAAAGAGTTGTAATTGCTGTCAGTGAATTGGGAATATTTCTTGACGAAATGAAATGCCAATGCCACCTATCATATAGATCGCGCTATTTGATGTGTGTGGATTAGTGTAACACCCAAAAATTTTGGTTAGTGACCAAAATATAAATTTTGAAACTTTAGTGGCTAAAGTATAAAATTTGGAAAAGTTTAAGGATTAAAAAGGTAATTTTCAAAAGTTAAGGACTAAAAGCATAATTTTCAAAAGTTGGGTGTTTTGACCCCATAAATGAATAGTTCACCCCCAAGAATAACGTTTTGGTGGGAATCAGATTTTTTATTCGGAATTTATGTTATAAGTTGTAAGGTGTTAAAGTCTAGTAAAATTCGGTAAATCGGATCGAACAAAAATTTTCGACAAAATTTAAAGGATATTAAATTAAGCTTAGAAATATTATTTTCACATTTTAAAATGATGGACAAATAATATGAACCTTTGGATTTGAGAATTTAATTTCATGTTTAATTTGGATCGTTGGATAAAAATGGCAAGATTGAAATTCTTGGAAAGTTGCATCGATAAAGTTGCCAAGAGTATAATATTTTGTTCATATTTGACTTTGGAAGATGATAACCAACATGTGGCTTGGTATGGATGTAATTATCAAGTTTTATTAATGGTAAAATTGTTATTTCCTAATTAAATAAATTTTAAATTCATTTAAGCTTAATAAATGATAAATTAAAATGAAATTAACTATAAATTTAATGAAAATAAGGCCTTCTTCAACCTTCATTTTCGTGCTCCTCATAACCTAAGTAAAGGGAATTTTATTTTTTATTTTAAGCATTTTCCTTTGGATTTTGGATAGAACCGTGAAATAGAAAATTATTCTTTTTGAAGAGCTCTATCATTTGGTACCATTATTTCATGCTAATCTTGCTTGAATGTTAAGTTCCCAAATTTTAGGGTTTATGTTCATGTTAGGGTTTTATGAATTGATGATGGATTTTGAGGCTGTTAAGGTTACAGAATAATTTCCAACCTTGTTTGATGATCAAAACCACCTAGAAATACTATATTGATTTTTGGCCTAAACACTAAATTAGGGAAAGTTTGTGATTTGATGAAATTGTGTTAGGGTTTTGATTGTAAAGATTTTAAAACGTTGAATAGAAGTTGATTTCATGCTCGAATCAAATTGAAATCAAGTGAAATCATGAAACCTTACCCCCTTAACATTCGGCCTTAGCTTTTGGAAGTGAGAAAAATTATGGAAAAATCATACAACAGTTAGAAATTATGTAAGAAGGATCGTACAAGCTTTATAAAGTTATTTGGACCAATTTATAATTTTTAGATAGTTAGGGGACCTATTCGATAGTTTTGAAAAGTTATGAGGTTGATGTGTAATAATTCCATGCATTAATTACTATGTTGGAAATTAATGTTAGAGTGATGAATTTGGTGTTTAAATGTGAACTTTGACTATTTTGGGAAGTTGTCAAAGTTTGAGTAATAAATGGTAAATATTGAGAAAGTTAGTGACTGAAGTGGTAATAATGAAATTTTTTAGGTATTGGGATGGAAATTTAATTAAGTTGTTTGGGACATGAATTGAAGTAAAGGCCAAAGAAATATTTAGAATAAAATGAAAAAGTTGAGGTGAATTCTAAAAGAATTCATAATTAGTAGTTAAAATGGAAAGTTGAAAAAGGTTATGTGAAGTTTGGGTGAATTTGAATAAAAAGGGTGTTGAATGGACAACGTGAAGTTTTAAAGTCAATATTTATGTTGTACCATGAAATTAGTATCGAAAAAGCATCGAAAGAATTTTAGGAATTTATTTTCTACTGTGTGCCTATGATAGTGAGATTCTAACATGTGGTTTGAAATGTACATGTTTTGTAAATGATGTTCATTTGGATTGTGTGCTTGAAATCATGATCAAGCAATATTAAAGCTAAGGAGAGCTTAAGGATGAAATGTGAATTTCTAAGGAAAGTTGCAATCTAAGGACTCCACGTGGGTGCATATTTAATTTGTATTTATGATATCGTGCAAACATTGGCTTGCGATGAGCCAATAATGAAGCTGCTATGGAAAGAAGTGACTCCTAATTGTTATGAAATTTTTTTATATTCATGCATATATATGTTAATAGAATTAGTGAATAAGCTGAAAATATAAGTTAGTGAAATATATTCTCAGATTTGTGTTCTAAATAGTAAGTTTAGAAAATCACCATAAATTCAATAAAAATGAATAGGGGATGATTTTTATTCCATTGGATTTGAAATAAATATAGTTTTGTTGAGAACAAACGACTACTGATTTCAATAATTATAGAAAAAGATATGAATTTTTAATCGATGATAGGTCAAAAAACAAGGTAGCAAATTCTTCTCAAAACAGTTTATGTAAGTCAACTTTGAAAATTAACTATAAATTGTACACGATGAACTAGAAGAATTTCCTTATATGGTTATATTTTTATTCGAGTATAGTTTCCATTGGTATAAACATAATAATTTTTAAGTGTGTATATTAATACATAATAATATTTCTTTGAAGGTAGTGCAAACTGCAAAACATGAAATAAAATTTAGAATGTGGTAAACTATGTATGTTATGATACTCTTATGATATGGGTTATCTTAGAATGTTTGAAATGAGTCAATGTTATTACATTGGCATGATTAATTATGATAATTATTATACAAGGAAATACGATATTTATATGTTTACAAGAGAAAGTTATAATAAGTATGTGTAGTTATTTATTTAATTATTTTGATCACGAACGACTTGTTATAAGTCAACCTCATATTATTTTAAAGTATGTTTTTTTTTCATTATGGATTATTTCCATGATATTTATATAAAGTTTGATGAATGATTTAGGGCATGAATTGCCCATCATGTTATGATATAAAAAGTTGGATATGTTGAGATATTGATATCTTTGGTAATTCTAAAACATATAGTAATTCATGGAAAAGCCTATTGTATGTTGCATCGAGAGTTGTAGGTATAATTGGCAT